GTCTCCTACAAGTTGAGCTTGATTCCTGTTGACTTCATGAAGACATGCCTAATTTATTTGGTAACAGTACAGAAGTGGTTTGCCAGAGCTTTATTATGGAATATTTCTTAATTTCCCAGCCTAATTTACAGCATAGTGTTTCCTTAATAACTCTCCTAACCAATAAGACTTAGATTCAGAGTATGTATGGATACTACTTAACGGAGATTCTATGGGCATACCACATGTATTTCAAACCATTGCTTCCCTTTTATATCCAGATTGCTGAATAGATTTCCAGTTAGGTTTGGTGCTGCTTAGCTTCTGAGCCTAAACATGGTCATCAGCCTAAACATTCTAAACGGAGTCCCTGTGTATAAGTTCATTTTAATATCCATAAGGTTTAGTTTTTTGATTTTTGCCAGTGGAAATATGAAATGTATTCCTGAGAAAACCATTTCATTTCTAACCTTGGGTGACTTAATTCTCAGCTATTGGAATAGTGAGAGCTACCAATTTACTGACAGAATGTACAATGTAATAGAAAAACCATTAACTGCTTCTGTATTTCTGTTTTTAGATTTTGTCTTTCCAGCACTAGATATTCTTCGATTAGCAATCAGGCATCCCAGCGTGAACGAAAGCTTCTGTGGCGAAAAGGATGGCCTTCAGTTCTGCAGTCATCTCATCAAATTCCTGAACACTGGAGGAAAGCAAGCCAACCAGATGCTGGCTCTGCGAATTTTATGCAATTGTTTTATTCACCCAGTTGGCCAAAAGCTCATGATGGCACAGGGGGACTCCATAATGTCACAAGCAATAGAACTGAAGCTGAGCAGCAATAAGAACATTCACATTGCACTGGCTACGTTGGCTTTAAACTATGCCATTTGTCTACATAAGAGTAACAACATTGAAGGCAAAGCTCAGTGTTTATCAGTGATCAGCACAGTCATAGAGGTAGTGCAAGACCTTGAAGCTGTTTTTAGATTGCTTGTGGCTCTTGGGACATTGATCAGTGATGATTCAAATGCTGTACAATTAGCCAAGTCCCTAGGAGTCGATTCTCAAATTAAAAAGTATTCCTCTGTATCAGAACCAGCTAAAGTAAATGAATGCTGTAGATTTGTTCTTAATTTGATGTAAACCCCTCCCTTAAAAAAACACTTGGGAGTCTAGGACTATATCAAAGATACCCATTTTCGTATTTTACAAAAAAAAGAAAAGAATATTGTGGGCAAACTCTCTGGAAGTGAAATGATCTGAATAAATTTTTTTTTGCACTGATTTTAAAAGTGTTTTTCTTCAAAGCTGTTAAGTGTGTGCTTATTTTAAAGATAATTTTAGTAGCTTCTCCCCTTGATTAACTTTCATACATTGCTTTTTGTCCTACCTTCTGGTGCTTTGGAGAATAAAGAAATCTTGACTCATTGACATATGGCACATTTACTGTTGCTTTTCATCAGGCAGAAATCACTTGCAAAATGGATTCTTGTTTCATCGAGTGCCTCCATTTTGGTAAAACCATCTAGAATCGATTTGTATCTGGGATTAGATCCACAGGGCTGCAAAGAAGAGGGGACTGAAAAGTTCTCTTGAGCAAGCAGAAATTTTCTCACTATCGACTGAAAGAGCTGGAAGGAAAAGTTAACTACATTTAAGTTTTCTATTTTGGAAGAAATTCCAGCAATGTGTTGATATTAGTTCCTTGCTTATTCTGTGAGCTTTTACATTGTATAACACTACTAATAGTGGTTTTGATTCTTTATGAAACTGGGGATATACCAGAAAGTTGACTTCCCACATACAGAAGATGTATTTTTAACCACTGTTCCAGAAAAATCCAGCATACAAGGAAATAAGTATTTTGTATTTCCAGGTGTACTGTGCTCTTTTTCATTTTGGTTGTTTTTCTATAGAATGTTTCTTCAGAATACATATAGTTCTATCTTTCTCTGAATTTAGTGATAACCTTCCCAGTGTTGAGTGCAGTGTTATCTTCAGCCAGCCAGATTTGCAAGAATAATGCTACAAAGTATGAGCTGTCTCATTCATATTGATGAAATGCTCATTCTAAAGTCTCAGCCCTTATACCTAAATGTCAGCATTATTTCTTAGTTCCTTATCATAAACATGCAGCTCCCATGCTTATCATTTCTTGTGGATTTAGAAATGCAGCTGCAATGCTAAATATGCAAATAATTATTTCCATTCTGAATGTTCTCAATTTATTTTGGGAAGTTTCGTTTATAGGTGGTTTCTTATTGAAATGGAAATTACAAGTAAATTTTGTGTGAGACCTATCAAGTTTCAAAATCAAAGTCTGAATATCATATTTAACAGGGTTAATAAGATATTCAAACTTTCATATATCCTGCTAAGACATAAAACAGATTGCAAACTACAGAGAAAATGCATCAAACTATTATCTACTCTAGCATAAAAAGTAGCCCCAGCCATTATGACTTAGTGTAGGAATACAGTAATTCCTATGTTGTTTTTGCCTCCCTGTACTCAACCCCCAAATCATTCTACCTTATGAATGTGATATATTTGAAACAACCAAATTGACTAATTCTGATCACAATGAACAAGATCCTAGTTTAAAAATTATGTGAGTGGGCGTCAGAGGGGTCCTTGGTGCTCTCTGAACTTGGTTGTTTTCTTATAGATGTTTCATTACCCAAACTAGGTAAACAACATCTGTGCTTATCATCACTGGGAATCTATACACTTCCGTAAATTATGGAGAGTTTCCTTAGACTCAGTGTGGTATGAAAGGAGTGTTCTCAAACTTTTCTGTCTTAGATTTGGTGCATATATGCAAAACAATCAGAATGCCATTGGTTAAGTTTGAGTAACAAATAATATCTTAGCATCAGATATTAATCAATAATTGGTTTTGTTTGCCTAACACAGCTGAGACCATTCAAAGTTATGGAAATAGCAAAAATGTGACTGGTCCAGCATACGCATATCTTACTGCTTTAGATGGTTGTAGCTCTTCTCTATTGCTTTATACAGTTACCAGATGATGATGAAGAAGATGGGACCTCTGATTCTAAAAATCATAGACATAAAAATGAACACATTACAATCACCTCTCTTCTTTTTAAGAGACTGTTGGTATAGCTATCTTTCTGTTTCTATAGTTAAAGTACAAATGTTTGCTTTGGATTGCTATGAAATTGCCCTATTGCCTTGCTATCAGTTCCACATTCAAAATGTTTCAATATTCTCTGCAAATAGTTTTAGAAAGCTGCTAGGATCAAGAGAGAACATTTGCAGGCAGATGTTTTGGCTTTAAAAGCAGAATAGATTTGCTCTCCTTGAAGGGCCAAAGTAACTATTTGTAAACCTGGCAGATGCATTCCTCCAACCCTATCAAAATATTTGAATGCTGCATTCCCCTACAAGAAATGAGCAGAAAACAGTATTTATACTGAAAGAAAATACCTTTACATTTGTGTTTTCAATTATGCAACAGGTACAAATAACAGATCTGATTCTGAGCATGGTGGTCATAGATTCAAATACTGTTAGACTGGAACCACTGAAATTCATAGATCACAATTGTGATCGACCAAATCATACAAATTGTAGAATCCTACTTTTCATAATACCAACATTGTGCAAATATATAAATCAAAATGAAGACATTCATAAAATTTTATATTTTACAGGGGAACACACAAATGTCAGATTTCATAATATATGTTCATGATTAATAACGGACTTTAAAAGATCAGTTGTTAGATGAGACATTGGGAAAAATTAATCATCCATGATTGTGAAGGTACATAAATCAGATTTGTCCAAAGGAGTGTATATAATAACCAAGGATCTATTTTTGGTTTCACTGGGCCCCCAAACCTCAGTCTGACCTACAAAATCTCTTGTTTTTGCCATTATTTTTATACTGCTTCCACATAAAACTACCATCAACTCACAGAATATATTTGAATGCGTGAAATAATTCATGCTCTGTCACCATGAAATTGCCCCAAGGAAGAATATTTGTTTTCACTAAATCAGTCAAATCAACTTTGACACAGGGTTTTTGTTGATTGCCCTCAACTGGACATAAACACAAGAAGATATCCATTTGCAATAAATGCATGAATTCTTAAAAATGTCAGCCTTTTATATATTTGGATGGTTCTGTGAAGAGCAGAGTGTATTAATGTTTGAAGGCTATCATATTACCAAAGTTATTAACCTGCATTTTTCTTTAGACACTCTATCTAGGCTGTCCTTTTCATGTAAATGGTACAACTGCTTATTTCAGATCCTCCAAAAATATCTCTGCTTATTATCAAATGCTGGCATTTATTCTTTTTACTTGTATGATAACCAATGAGCCTGGGAATTTAGGCTGAATTAGAGTACTGGATGTGGGCTAAATGGCAGCAACCTGAGCAATGTTTGTTGAAGCTGGAATAGTTTTAAGATTAGTTCTGGACTGATAATACAGGTAGTCCTCAATTTATAACTGCAATTGAGCCCAAAATTTCTGCTGCTAAGTGAGATATTTATTAAGTGAGTTTTGCTCCATTTTAGGACTTTTCTTGCCACTGAAGTGAATCACTGATGTTGAGTTAGTAACACGATTGTTAAGTAAATCTGGCTTCCCCATTGACCTTGTCAGAAAGTTGCAAAAGGGGATTACATAAACCCAAGACACTGCAACCGTCATAAACATGAGTCAGTTGCCAAGTGTCTGAATTTTGATCCTATGGCCATTGAGATGCTGAAATGACCATGTATGTGAAAAATGATTCATGTCACTTTTTTCAGTGCCGTTGTAACTTCGATCACGTTGTAACTCTTGTACGTCGAGGACTACCTGCAACGTACCGTACATGAAGGACCAATAACAATAACAAAAAAAACCTCTGCCAATTGCTTCCAAATAAAAGATGCTTCTTTCTCTTTCTGTATAGGATTTTCTATCTCTAGGACGAAAAAGTCGCAAAATGACGTAATCAAGCTGCGACAGTGGTCCAGCTGAGTGTAACGCTGATCCCGCCAGTCGCGAGACGGCTTTTTGATGTGGTTATTTTATATTTCAAGACGCTTTAAAGGAACTGCCACCGTCTCGTGGTGGCGGACGCCATGACGGGCCGTAAATTCTCTAAAGAGAAGAAGCGACATCGTTCCCGTTTAAGCGGCCCAGAGGAAGGAGGTGGTAGCGAAAGAAAACGGCGGAGCACTGAGGCAACCCGCGGCCTTCCGGAGGTATCTTTAACAGCCAGTCAGCCTTGCGAGGGAAGAGCGGCTGAATTGCGCAGGCGCAGAGTAAAGTTACAGAGTCACTTGACAAGAAAGTGCAGCTTCAGCCTGTTCCCTTCGCGCGCCTGTTTTGGCGGGATAATGGCTGTCTTCTTTTTAACTCTTAAAACTCGTATCACATAAAATAATGGGTCGCAAAAAAAAAAAAAGAGAGAGAGAGAGCAGAGAAGCCACTGAAGGAAAATGAGTACCTTAATTCAATCAAATCAAAAGTGGGGTGGTAATGAAGTTAGCTCACCTCATCAATGTATATGTATATCTTTTAATAGCATTTCTTATTCAGAAAAGGTGCTGCCCTTTCTCTGGAAATCTGGCAAGTAGTAGCACCTTTTCTGAGTAAGAAATGTGATTAAATGCTGTTAACGTTTCTAAACTGTCCATATGTTGGATGAACCCATAAGATTGGTTGAGGAAGGTAAATTCTAGTTAAGTGAGCAAATATGCTTAGGGAAAACCTTCGTTGCCATTAACATGCAAGCTACTTTATTCTCTGGAACTTAACAGGGCAAAGTATTTTTAGAAATTACTTAAAATATTAAGAAGCTGAACTGGGCCATCTTAGAAGGGAAATTAGTGCTTTCTTGTTACACAGAAGCGAGAGTGTTAGGTGCATAGAGTAGAAAGGAATGTAAAGACAAATGTTAAGGCTCATAACAGAGATAAAGTATGCCAATTAGAACATGAGAAATTTGGCTATTTTTTCTCTCCCTCCATCTCCTATGCCACTCATCTCATCTAGATGATTATTAGGAAAATAAAACTTGAAAATTTTAGAAGTAGATATGTGCAAACTACTTGTTTTGTACCTCACTATAAAATGTCTACAACCTTTGCCAATGTTTTTGCGTTATGTGTCAAATAAAACTTTTGAACACTGAATGATGGCATCTGGTGGTTTGGCCTGAGCAAGGAATGCTCAAAAGGTAAACATTTAACAATTGTAAAAACACGGTCTTCCTGCAAATGTGAGGTTGTGGCTGTCTGATGTAACTGGCAGGGGTCTGTATTTTCAGCAGTATAATTTGAGATTAGGATACAGAGGCAGAAGTTAATATTAGGTAGAAACAATTCTGCAAGGCAAGTAGAGAGCTGCCTCTGCAGAATATCCTACTGTACTACTCCAATTTACATTTTCTATTCTGAGTGGTGGTCACACTTGTAAACTAATCTTTTGACTGTGCCCACCCAACAGGAGAGTGCCACATTGGAGGCGGTTGATAAGTGAAGAGACAATCCACCTCCCCACCCTGGGTGCCCTGCTCCATCCCTCTTCATCTTTTAATTATAACTTTATCTTGGATTACAATTCCATTAGAATTCAATTTTTACCATTTTAGAAATATTTATCTTTTATGGTTTTAATGTCATAAGCGGCCCAGCATAACTTCTAAATGAGATGGGCAGAAAATAAATAAGTAAATAAATAAATAAAAATAATCAAACAAATAAATAATACACATCTAATGGGAAGCAAAACCCTGTTCCATGTGTATTCATACATAGTCTTACAATCTGTTGGCCTTTTCTATAACTCTGAATTATGATTTTGGTCTTCCTACTTGGAAAGAATGCCATTGAGCATAATATGATATCTGAATAATAGCATGAATACTGTTATTACAGATAGTCCTCGAGTTATGACCACAATTGAGCCCAAAATTTATGCTGCTAAGTGAAACATTTCTTAAGTGAGTTTTGCCCCACTTTATGACTTTTGTTGCCACTGTTGTTAAATGAATCATTGCAATTGTTAAGTTAGTAACATGGTTGTTAAGTGAATCTGCCTTCTTCAATGACTTTACTTGTCAGGTCGCATCACATGACCTAGGGACACTGCAACTGTCATAAATATGAGTCAGTTGCCAAGCATCAGAATTTTGATCATGTGACCATGGGGATGCTGCAACTGTTGTAAAATGGTCATAAATAAGTTTTTCCGGTGCCGTAAGTTTGAATGGTCACTAAATGAACTGTTGTAAGTCGAGGTCTACCTGTACATCATTAAAAAAGGAATGAATTATGCAGTATGTTAATAGCTATATGACTTTTTAATAAACTTAACTACAAAATCTAGATTGCATTTTAGAATGATATTATTACATCCAACAATTATATTCTAAGAATCAGTAAAAAACATATTTTAAGCATCATAGTATTCCAAAATAAGTTATAAAACACACACATTGCTCCAAATGACTTCATTATATCTTATGGATGTCAGTACTGCTATATTGAAAATGCTGTATCTGAGAACTTACAGTGTTCTCTCCTATATTTTATGCTACCCTTTGCTGTTTTTGTTTGTGTGAGCTATTATTGTTTTGAGGTCAACTCACTATATTTCAATACTTGTTAAAATATATCCTTGACTTTTCCTTCGTGGCTTGCTTGCTTTGTCCTGCATGTTCAGTCTTCTGCTAAATTATGGTGCTAATATGGTTATTGTGACTTTTTTCTGACCTCTAGTAATTTATCTTTGGATCTTTATCCTGGTCATCTTCAAATTTTATAATCTTCTCTAATCTTACATTCAGTGCCTTATCTTTCTGTATGGAGCATTTCTGTGCAGAAAATCATTTGTGATAATCAAAATCATCAGTAAACAAATAATGTGATAGTTCTTAATTTTCTCCAGTTCCTCTTTTTTCCAATATCTGGTTCAATTTTTCTTCCTCTTTCAAGACTTTCATGACTTTTTTTTGAAGACATAGCTCTGAATTTTTGTTATTCTCTCTCCATGCCCTTAGATGTTCAAAAATATTGTGTCTCCCTTAAATGACCCAATACTTTATCCTTCATTTATTTCTTAAAACATATAAGTTGTCCTTTGGACTATATGCAACAATATAACAAAATTATATATAAAACTTATATTGGTTTCTATTATTACTTTTTTATTCTGCCAATTAGTTGTATATAATGATAACCTTATTCTATTAGTCTTCCTTTCCAACATCCATTTGTAAACTCCTTTGCTGGGCTTATGATCTTTCAAATAATATTGACATGCAAAATTGAGCAGCTTAATGAACCATATTAAAATATTGTCACTGAATGTGTCATAACTTAGAGAGTGTTATGATGTTTAGACTATATAACAGTAGGAAGCAATTTTAGAAGCTTCATTGATTCAAACTGCAATTCTATATGGATTCACTTGTGAGTAATCTATACTGAACTCCATGAGACTCAAGTGTCAGTTCTTTGTCATAGTTTATTTGCTGAGAATACCACACAGTCAATCAAGTATGTATTGGTTATTTTTGTCTGTCATATTTTAGGAAACCAAGTGTATTGCTCAGGTTCCAGAAAAGAAAGATGTGGTAGAAGAGCCCAGTGACATAGAAGAAGGTGGATTAGATCTGACTATCCAATTAAAGCCTGTCAGTTTCTATATTACGGACAAGAAGGAAATGCTTCAGCAATGCTTTTATATCATAGGGGAGAAGAAATTGCAGAAGATGTTGCCTGATGTTTTAAAGGTATTGAAGTATATCAGTTAGAGCTGTGCAAATTCTTTAAAAAAACGGTGCATCACAATACATTGGAACACACATGAAATACTTTTTAAAAAATGATTAAAAAGCAAACATGTTTTTATCCATGAAGTATATTGGTTGTACACACCCATGCCAAGAATAACTTCTGAAATTAGTCTCATGAGCCTAGAAAAAGATGCAGCTTTTAGAATTGTTCAAAAAAAGTGCTTCATGTGAATATCTATGTTATTACATTTAAGAGAAGGCTGAGTATATGTGTGTATGTATGTGTGTGCGTATGTGTGTATGCACATACAAACACGAATGAGATATGACAAGTTAATAAAAATTTAAATAGAGTTTGATTTTAAAGGTAATAATTTAAAACTATTTATCTTTTTATCACAATGATAAACTCTGCTTATGGCATTGGTACCATCTCTTATTTTTGAAAAATATATAAAGAAAAATATGAAATGGTATGTTATCAGTTTACTATGACTAGACTGCAAATCTGGGGTCGGGCAGATAATCCGCGGTCTATATTAGGATATATTGGTTTTCATCCTTTGGTGATGGGCGGGTGAAATAAATTCCCTCATCAAATTCTGGGTGTGATTCTTTTAATGAGTCATAACCATGACATAATCAGAGCAAAAATGTTACCTATATAATCATATAATAATTGTGTTTGTAGGATATTCTGGAAATAAATCCATAGATATCCATTTCATAATAAATATGAATAGCAAAATGTTCAGTATGAGAACTATGCATTGCAATAAAAGCATATTTATTTGACACTTATTTGGTTACTGTTTAGATGTGCATCCATTTTGTTCACACTTCAGTGTAGGGACCTTTTTGAAATATGATAAATTGGGTAAAATAACATAGTTTAGTAAGCCAGAATTTAAGAGTATATAATGTAGGATTTGCCAGTTTGCTTTAAATCAGTTTTAATGTTAAACCATCTCTCCATCATCACCTGGACAGACTACCGTTAATTTATTGCATTTTTCACATTCAAAAAGTAAAATTTTACATTCTCTGCCTATGGGTGTCATTCCTTTTATCAGTTGAAGTCGGGTGTGGCTTCAGTTTATTTTCTTCCAAATTGTTCCCCAACTGTGCATATTTTAGAAAAGGTTAAAAGAAAAGGTTTTACCTACCATATATTTTTGAAAGGAAATTACTGTTTTCTGTTTGTTTTCTATTCCTTATTGCAATATCACACCAACATTTGAAAATCTTCAGCACAAAACATCTCAGTCTTACAACCTTGCCAATTATAGTGGGCTTTTTTTACTGGTTAAATAAGTTCTCACTGATTCATCAAGAAAGCTGTAATTGATTAACCTGCCAATTAAACTCTGCACTGTTATTGGTGTGCATCTTATATAATTGTAAGACAGTTCAGTAGTAGTTTATATGGATTAAATAGTTCAGTTATTAAGATGCTGTAAAGGCAGCTAGTATTTATATATTTTATATGGATGTATATTAATAAATTCTGTGGTATAAATGCTGATGTATAGTGCTTGGGATAAATCAGACTGGAAATGTAAATAACGTTAATTACTGTGGCATATGGAATAATGTAATATATAATTACAGCTTTTCCAAAGGGATATTGAAATTTTTCTTTAATTGGACATAACACCAGATAAGAATGTGGCAACCTGGCAGTTTATAAATAAGTCATTTATAATTAAAGAACATACTACTCCCAAAGGATTTTTGACATCTTTGCCTGGAAATAACTAACTAGAAATCAGAAGCAAGCAGGATTTAAAAATAAAACGGAAACAACATTAAGGTGTTACTATTCAGTGCTTCTTAAGAATATTGATGAAGCTTTCAGTAGGTGAGAAAGGCACTGATATTCAGTTGTGATATCCTAAATCTATCTTTGTTTTTCTTCATAATAATTACTTTTGTAAAATTGTTTTTAAAAAATCAAAAATATTTTTTTAATTTTTTTTTAAAAAAGGGACAACCAGCAATTGTAAAACTTTTCAGCATACCCCAAAACAATGGGAATGCCTGTTTAGAAGACTGCAATAGAGATAGGTTTATGTCAAACTTGGGGTCTACTAGGAAAAAATTGAGATTGTTGGCATGGTTTCAATGAGTGAAACTGCTGGACATTTGTGGGATTTCTTGACCCCTTAACTGTTCTTACAATTTAAAAAAACTACACTTCTAATATTGGAGATGCTTTGGGGCCAGGAAACCTATTGGAATATCCAGAATGGCTGTCCATGCATAAAATGGCTATGGTGATGATTGCAAGTTCCAAATCTATTTCAGGCAAGGGCAAATTATTAGGGCTGAAAAAATAGTAACTTGACCACAAAACAGTTTAACTGAACATAATTCATAATTCATAATTCATTTTTATTATTCACTTGCAGTTATCCAAAACATTTCTTCTCTTTAATGAACAGTTGATGTATAAGATACATCCCAACATGTATCTTTTGCATCAAATGTGGATCCCAACACATTCTCTCTGTTTTATATATTACTGATACATAAACTGCCAATTTTTCCACATAACTTTGTTTTCTCTGTAGTTCTCTCTATTGCGGTCTGGATCATTCTGTTTTATGTGAAAACAATTAGTCAATGGAACAACTTGCATTCTGGAGTTGTGGCTACTCCATTGTTGGTGGTTTTCAAGAAAAAAATGGACAACCATTTGTCTGAGATGAAATAAGGACTCCTGCCTAAGGCAGGGGTTGGACTAGAAGACTTCCAAGGGCCCTTTCAGCCCTATGATTCTATTGAATTGTTTATGTAAATCATGTGTTTAATCCATAATGATAATTACTTATTATGCCAATAATTTAAATTGTTGACTATATATATATATATTTAAAAATAGACACTTTAGAAAACTCTTTAAAATCATCTAAAAACAGCAGAACAAGTGGAGTTCTGGTATATTGAGCATTATATTTTTCTAATTTAATCCAATATGTGTATTTTAGATTGATAAAAAGAATATATAATTAGTTACATATATGTTTAACTTTTTGGTCAATAGTTTAATGAATATTTATCATGATTTAATAATGTATTAGGTTTGTATGTTATCATTTTAATTGTATTCCTTCTATTCAAAGCATAATATTCAAGTTCCAAATTATGCATATCTGGATTTTATGACATTCATTTTAATAATACTATTTAAAGTCAACTTTAGTTAATAATTAATTACAAGATTTTAAATTTGTTTCAAGCATGCTTAAATTTGGCTTATCTAAAGTATCTTATTTTAATTATTGTATAGAAACATTTCTTTTTTATTCAATTTCCTTAGAACTGTTCTATAGAAGAAATTAAAAGGCTTTGTCTTGAACAATTGGACCTTATGTCTGAAAAGAAGTTACTGAAAATTCTTGAAGGTAAATATATATATATATATATATATATATTGAACTAACATTTCGATTGGTTATTCTAAAATTTGGAGTAACAACTATTGAAGATTAGATGAGGACACAGCTTTGTTTCAATTAAGAAAATTAGAAATATTTTTGTAATAAAAAACTAAATATTATATAAATGTATGTTTACTAAGATGTAACTGTTACTAAGTTCAGCAGGATTTCTTTGCACATCATATATATAGTCTGGGAATATACATATATGATTAAAACCTATGTGTCTTTCTAGACATCAACTATAGCTATTAAAATTAGAATTTAAATATCTGAATTAGAGATGACAAGAATTGGAAGTCCTCTATTTTATGTGGTGCCATTAGATTAATTATTGAGCTTCAAACTATGGAGTAATTCATACCAAAAGGAATCAGTAGCCTTTGCTTCAAATATGTAAAATAAATATGTTTTGCTTAGAATTACAAAGTTTGATCATTTTGACTCTATGAGTATTTAGATACATTTGCATCATCTGAAAAAAAGAAACATATTTAGTTTCTGTCAAGTCATAGGTAGGATCACATATCTTCCTTTCCTGCAGAAGAACAATAAAACAATTTAGGAGAAACCAGAAGAGACTTGGAGACTTGTATGGTACCGCAAAGTAGAACGCAACAGGAAAAGTGAGAAAGAAGTGGCTCCTCCTGCTGGGTTATCTTTAGCTTTTGATCTCACTTAGGGCTTCTCCAAGCATTTTCCAAGTCCATGTGAGCCATGGCAAGAGTGAGGCTGAAAGGCATAGGCAAGTGAAGGAGCAGAGAAGTTTTCTTTGGAATAACTCTCTATTTAAGGGTCTGTTTAATAAATAAGTTATTTCAAACACTGAGTTACTTCTCGAGTTACAACCCATCATGGCCAATTCGTGGCGGGATGACTTGCTGTGGCCAACTCACCTTGGTCAACTTACTGCAGGACAATTCAACAATTCAATTTTAAGTATTTAAAATAATTAAAAACACTTCATTTTGTCCCTCCTTTTGCATCCATTTTTTAATGATTCTACTCCACCATTTCTTCAATATTAGTGTAACTCCTGTCTCATAGCAAGTAGACCTGTGGCAAGCTGACTGTGGTGAATTGTCGTGAAGCAAGTTGGCCATGGGGACTTGGCCATACCGAGTTGGCCACACTGAGTTGTCCTAGACCCCACTGTTGTTCCCAGCTGAATTGGGTCTGTGACATAAGCCAATATGTACCATCTGATTTAGGAAAGAGATTTGAATTGGAAGTAACTTAGTGTTTGAAATAACTTCTTTACTTGACCAAATTGCCATAACCTTTGCCTTATTTTCTAAGACTGATTATTTGGACCTGTACTGTGGTTTGTATACTAATCCTGTTATTTTCTGCTGAGTTATTTTGCTGCTTGATGATAAATCCTGTCTCTGCTTCTTCATTGTTCTTGCTTGGCTATATGAAAAAACCTAGCAAATCCTATCTGCCTGCCAAAAGGCTTAGTTATTCTGTGTAGGATCTTAGCACTTTGGGTGGAAAGAACAAATGTCACATGGCAGGGGATATAAGTGAAATTAGAGAAATGGAAGCCAGGAGACACTGTTTTTTTGTCACTGTTACTGTAATAGTCTTCCTGAGGTTTGCTTCATATTTGTAACAATCCGGAAACTAAATAAAATGGAACTCTTATGAAGAATGATTGGTAAATAGTTCACTATTGCCATTTTTAGCTTACCTTCAAATTATTTAAATTAATTAATTATGTTATTTTAGTAATGATTTTGTTCCTAGTTTATTCATTTTATGATTAGTATTTTAATTGTGCATTTTATTAATAATTAGTTATTTTTTATTTATTTTATCTTTTATGTATGTTTGGGAAACCGCCATGGTTTCTTGATTTGAGGAAATGGTAGTAGAACAATTTGTACTGTATTGTACAAAAGTAGAATGATTGCACTATCAAATAAGTCATTTGTTTTTTAATTACAGAAAATTTTAAAGATGGGACCCTAGAGCATTGCCTTGTCCTAAAGCCTCTATGTATCTATCTTAGTGGTGTTTTTTCCACTATGAATGCCTTCCATATTTATAGAGTTTAATCTCCAGAATCATCTGGACAGCTTAGTCATTGAGAGTTGAAGTTCATGCATCTAAAGGGCGAGAACATTGCTAAGTGAGACATTTGTTAAGGTAATTTCCCCCAAAGGTTGTTAAGTGAATCACTACAGTTGTTAAGTTAGTAGCACGGTTGTTAAGTGAATCTGGCTTCCCCATTGACTTAAGTTGTCAGAAGGTCGCAAAAGGTGATCACATGACCCTGGGACACTGCAACTGTCATAAATATGAACCAGTTGCCAAGCGTCTGAATTTTGATAATGTGACCATGTGTTTGCTGCAACGGTCATAAACCACTTTTTTCAGTGTTGTTGTAACATTGAACCGTCACTAAACGAACTGTAGCAAGTCGAGGACTAATTTCAAATTCAAGTTTTGGCAGCTGATCATATCAGGGATTGAAACCTAGGACTTTTTTTCAAGCAAAGTATGCAAAAAGCACTGAATTTTCACACAAAATATCTTCTTCCTTATTCCTGTGTCTTACAGAAAGAAGAGCAACTCCCATTTTTTAATATCTTCCAACTGTTCATCAACATTGTCTGTCTATGAAAATAGCCTTTCAGTTCATTCCCCAAGTATATAAACCAGCCCAATCTTCTGCCAGACCTACAGATAAAGACAAGGAAATTATATTGCAGGAGAGAATGAGAAACCAGTGCTGGGATTTGAGGAAGATATTATATGATTTGGATGAAATAAAGCTAAAGTCTGAATAGAAGTGAAGTGATGGCAGGTGTTGATAGAGAAGGTCAGTTAACTGTAGGGAAAGCAAGATAGGACTAGAATATAAACATCAAACATCCATTTTAACTGTCCTTATGAAGAAAGCATAAATTCTATTTTGTAATTGCAGTATGAATAGAGATTTGCCAGTGCCCTTACTTGGCATCAAGGTCAGCTCCTCCCACTAAAGGTAGATTTGATTACTGAGACATTGTTTGGATATTGAATAGCTAAGTAGTCCCAAATGTATAAATATGGGCATTTAAAGAAGCACATGCCTTAATTATACTCTGCTTTTGTTGTGCGATGCATTTATATATTCCTAAAGCAGTGGAGTCTTTTTGAAATTGTGGATCCCCAATGAACACTAAGCAAAAAAGTGTGTTTGCCTGTGCAGCAGACAAATACAGAAATTGGCTATAATACAATTAGAATAAGACATTTATAGCAAGTGAAGGGAAAGGTAGCTGGAATCTCTCTAAATATAGGGAGATTTAAGATTAATATTTTCAGAGTCAGAGTTGCTCACAAATGTAATACATTTTTCTTACTTTGCAAATTAAAATTTGGAAGTTGTTTTGCGGGTATCTTTTATGTTCATCTTAATGAGTATTGTTTTTGTTTATTCGAATTATATGGTTGCACAGTTCAAAATACCAGGGCAGTTTACAGCAAATTTAGAACCAAGTGCAGTATCGAATCTTAAAAAACAATTAGGGACAATCACTCAATGCCATATAACATAAAATGTCTCAGATTTTGTCTCACTCAGTGTCCTAGCCCAATTTTTATGGAAATAGCCAGCTCTTCAATGCTTTCTGAAAGGCCAACAGGAGGCCTTTCATATTTTGGGAGATAAGCTGCCAAATAATTCCATCAAATTATTGGGTGAGGTGGGGAGGTAAGCAGGCACCATGACAAGGAAAGCATTCTTTCTGAGTCCATCAGATAGCACAGCTTGCTAGAAAGGACTTGGTGTCTGCCAACTCTGTTGGATTTGTTGGGTTGGACTTCCCAGGTAAACCATACATGAAGCACAACTAGATGAGCTAAGTCTACTTTATTGTAACACTACATTAACATAATCTTACAGACTTCCTGCCTGCCACTTTTAACTGCTAGATTGTTAGGGCAGGCCCTTTCTAAGTTTCTTTCTTTGACTATTCAACGATTCTGGGCTTCTGTCTTTCTTGCTGATAAGTTTCCCAGGCAGCATCTCTTCTCACCTTTTCTCAAGATTATTTATGCATTCCATTATATGTTGGAACAGGCAGAATTAATAAGATACAGATGTTGCAGATAATTCAACCTTGTGCCATGAAGAGGTTTACAGATGGCAGCATTTTTAATTGAACCTGGAAGCTTATTGGAAGCCAATGCGGCTCACAAAGAGGTGGATTAACATGGGCATGCCAATGTCTCATGATGCCACATTCTGGACCACCTCTAGGTTCTGAATGGTCAGATCATGGGTGTCAAAAGTGGTGGTCCACGGGCCGGATGCATCACATGGAGATCATGCCCACCCCAGCTCCGCAAAGGGAAAAAACATTGCAATACATCACGTAACAGCAACATGACGCGGCAAGTTTGACACCCATGGTTCAGATGATAATTTATACAAAGATAAAACTTTGCCTATGCTTATTAGCAATGATTCTGCAGTGTTCCATGTTGAAGATGATAGTGTTCTTGTGCATGAAAAATAGCGATAGCACTTAGACTTATATACTGCTTTACAGTACTTTACAGCCCTTTCTAAGTGGCTTACAGAGTCAGCACATTGCCCCCAACAATCTAGGTCCTCATTTTAATGACCTTGAAAGGCTGGAAGGCTGAGTCAACCTTGAGCTGGTGAGAATTGAATTGCTGGCAGTTGGCAGAATTAGCCTGCAATACTGCATTCTAACCACTGCACCATCACGGCTCCTGACATAAATGTGGGGCATTTTTTCCTTGGGTATAAATATGGAGCAACTACTAGACAGCTGATGTTTATCTTAAAACAGCCTGCTACTCTTCTAGGAAAGAGTACACCTTTGGAGCTTGCAGTGCCTCTTATAGCCAACTGTCTATAAAATGCAGATATTTCCGTTACTGATTGCAATTAGAGTTTGCTTATTTCAAGCCCCCTTCTGAAACAAATAGACTGCCTCTTTCTTGACAGTAATAACAATATTTATTGGTGAATAAAATTAAGACAGAAAAATGCTACCAAAACATAACATCTCATATTGACATTTTGTTTTAAGGTGAGAGTGGGGCAGATTCTGACAGTGATGAGGAGACCAATGATGCTGAAGAAAAGACAATAGTTGAACCAGCCAGTCAGTAAGTAATTGCCATAAATTAATTATATTTGTTCTTAGATAGTTTGTTTTAATTTTGTCTTGTATTAAAACTTCAGTTAGAAATACTTGTAAAATGTCAGCAAAATTCCGGCTAAAACTTTGTCAAAACATTGGAGGAACTGTAGAAATGTTGGTGAAAATGTATGAAATCTTGCTGCAATATGACAAATGAACAACTGTTGTGGATATTGCAAAAATCAAGAAATTAAAGCCTGCAAAATTCCATGTAAAGCCTCAGTGGGCTCTATGGGATGTGCAAATAAACACAATATTGCATGACAAAATATTGTGAATCCCAGATGAAAATACCCTAAAAAAATAAAGGACTGCAATGATGGTTAATTCTATAATTGTTTTCTGTTATTTTTTAAAATGTGATAAATAGTAAAAGTTTGACAGTATTTGCTGTGATTCAGTTAAAATAGTACTTTTAAAATATTGGTTTTGCACAATGGGACCCTGCCTACTAATAACATTTTGCATATTTTTTATTTTTATATTATTTCCAATAGTGCTTTTTAATTGAACTTTGAAGAAATACTATTAAATCAAGAAGTAAAATTGTCTATCTACTAAATTCAGATATTAGAATTCAGATATTCCTCATAGGTATTTTAATCCTGTCCAGAATTGTTAGGAATCAAGCTGCATTCAAATTTTATAAATACATTGATCACCTCTTTATGTATGCCGTATGCTTTTTCTTTAAGAACAACTTTTTTTTCTTGATTGCATATGTGTACAATGAACTTATTTATTTCAAAGTAAATCCTAATCTTTAATATTGTTTCTCTGAATGTACATAGAATTGCAGGCTTCAATTGGGAGTCATTGCATTCTGAACTGCATTCATAGGAGGGAATGGCATTATAAGTATTGAACTTGATCTTGAGTTATAATCTGCTTTGATACACCTGAAAGGCAAAAAGGTATACATTCCAACAGTTTCCCTTGTAAAGAGATTGTGTTATTTCTCAGATGGTAATCATTTTGAGTTATCTGAGGACTTTGCTAAAATACATCTTTTGTAGATCTGATTTCTCTTTCTGCCCTTCCAATCTAAAATAAGCCTATAGTTGACTTGTTTAGTGGGTATTATAAAACTTCAAAAGATACAGACATGTACTAATTGGACAATTATAGAGCTATTGTAAAATCATAGCAGAAAAGGAAGAAGAATCAACCTAAGGCATTAAATTTTCCATAAGTGACTTTGAAATGATCTTTTTTTTAAAATTTATTTATTAAAAAGAAAAAAGTGACCAGGCAATATTTAATAAAGTATTTTGATGTAAATAGATATGAGGGATAATATTTTTAGCATATATTAGATTGTGAGAAAGCAATGTTTCCCCACAAATAAATACTTGCAATGACTCTCTATCAGCAATTAGAAATGAATTGTGTGATATGACCTTTAAAACCTGAACAATATTCATTTATGTAAAAAGGTATGGTATAATAATGACTTTATCAGTTGGCGTAGTTTGGCTAAAATGAAAATTAACTGGGAAACGTGGTTCCTAAAATTTATACTGTTTAGCCACAAGATGGCAGAAAATGCATGCATATTAAAAGACCAATTGCAGTCCTATATCAGAAATTCGGTATGTGACAGCAAAGAATTTCTCAGTGTTAATGTTTTGGACAACACATTGTCTTATTAGTATATGTACAGTTCTGTCTGCTGAAGTGGTTGATAGAAACCAGGTACTACATTTTTCTTCCAGATGGCTTTGTATCAGACTCTTCAGTTGTCAGAAAAATGACAGAGCTAAATAGGTTGGCTGTAACCATTTCCATGACCTCTACTACAAGTCATGTTATTAGAACTAAAGAAGTTACTGTGTTGCTCCTGCCTAACTATCTGAGTCCCAAATGAAATTTGTCAGCATGTTTCAAGGAAGAAAAAAATGTATTATTTTGGAACCTATACCCTTGGGTAGTTTCTTCCTCAATAAAAGTAGATTTTGGCCAACCATCCTTTTAGTTTGCTGATGAGGAGTGCTTGATTATAGGATTGCCATTTAATTCAGGAATTGAAGTCTTTATCCTATGTTCAGTTAGAAAAAAGGATATAAAAAACTAGGGGAACCATTGTCAAGTACCCTTCTCCTGTTTGCCAGCATGTATGAAAAAAATATTTTTAGTCTGGTTGTAATATACTTTGAATAGCTGGTATTTAACTTTGTATTGAAAGGGTACTGCAATTTTAAGGGCATTGCAATTTGTATTTAATTCTAATGAACTGTTTGCATGTCCAGCTGTGGGATAATTTCAAGATTGTATGTACCATTGATGTTTTTCATAGTTAAAGTAGGTAAAAGTCCTATTAATTGTATGGTATTGTGGTATGATATTGTTATTTTACATATAAGAAATCCTATGGCATCTAAAATATTGCCAGAATTATTATGGTACAAGATTATTCCATGATAAAATGGTTTGAAGAACAGAAGACTCTTTGCTGCTTTTGTTTAACTCTGACCTGCAGTGTCATTCAGTGTTTTGATTGTGTATGTATATTAACATAATATGTATTTATAATTGTTAGACAAAATAATTCAGATGTGAAATTACTTATATAAATATAAAATAATTTTATGACTAAAATGCTCATTAAGCTCAGCAACTGGACTAGCCTGCCTTGATTTCAAAATCCTGTGGAGAACTGTATCCTGTTTTCTCAAGTGTGTTTTATAGTCTTTCTTTTCCGTTATTGCGTTGTATAAAGACAATTAGACAACAGATAAGGTCCTCCATTTAGCAGTGTCCCCTCACTGTACAGTGGACATCTTCACATTAAGGTGAAAGCGTGTAAAAATCTCTTAAATTGGTCACACATCAACTCTTCAGAAAATGTGTTATTTTTCTTCCAGTTCTGTATAACCTGTCAAATGAATAAGGCTATTTTAAAGAGATGTCCTTGCCACAGTTTTGAGCTAGGCTATTCCTTGTTGCAGATTGTATAATTGCCTTCCTGAAATCATTTTCAGTTTTGAGAATAAAGGCTAAACTATTGTTAAAATGTATTCCTTATCATCACTGTGATGGTAGCAATGGTGTTAGGAGTTGCAAATGTAGCATTGAGCAGCACTGCATGCAAGGTTTGAATTTATTTTTTTATGTAGCAGTTATCTGGGTTTTACAGTTCTTATCCAACACTGTGGGCTTATTTTGAGGCATCCTAGTTTGTTCCTAAAACTGCTTGCTGGGGAACCTTTTAATCCTATCTAATGTAGAAAGAATTAACTTTCAGAATCTGTTTTTGAAGGTAGTAACACTAGACAGATTCACTGCTGGAGGCTTTGTGGGCCTGCCATTCATAAAGGTAATTGTTTTCAGGTTTTTTTGTAGGTTATTAGTCCTTCTGAGTTCTTCAGTCAGACTTCTTTAGGACTTAAAATGCTGAAGGCCATTCTGGGAAGATGAAGCTGGGAAAGCATTATATTAAGAAGTCAGAGATGGTTTTTTTGTTTTGTTTCTAGAAAGGGTCATAACCCATTCGGAGAATCAACAATAGGTAGAGCACATATATTTGGGGTAAGGTCAATGATCAATATATCACATATTACTCTATGCAGAAAATACTGAAACTATTGATAGTCATCACTTGCAGAGGATATGGATAACCAGGCAATACTCTGAGTTGTAAATAAGCTTACTGTGTTCTTGGAGTCATTAGGTTGGGTAGTTACAAAGAAAGATGAACCTTCCTCAGTTTAACTGTTATCTGAAATAAAGATTTTGAGTGGAAGCCACACTCCCTTTTTCATATTTATAAAAAAAAAGCAAAGAACCTGACCTTCTTTGTATTTGGCTATTTTATTGGTAATATAGTTCATATAGTGCACTTTCAACGACAGGGTCTTCTTCTTATGCCCAAATAATATCAAAATATATTATGCCCGGAAACCTCTAAAATAATTCTTTAGATTCATTGCATCAAGTTTAGTTTTATCCAGCTTGGTTCCCTCCAGGTATATTGGGACCATAAATTCCTAATTCTCAAGCTGGCTTGGAATTCTGAAAGTAACTTGCCTTATCAGATCTAGAGGGGAAAGTAGCAGGCTAGGGAAACTAATATAATTTTTTCTGAAAACTGTCAATATACTGTATATGCTTCATTGTATTACTATTATTTATGATTATGTCATTACATAAATCAAGCAATAAAATAGAGTGCTAAGCAGGTATTGATATATTTGAAGTGCTTATTTTATAATTATAAAAGGCAAACTAATTTAAATGTGTTCTTGTTCTCAGGCAAGACAATAGCATAGATTCTACTTCTTCTTTGAAGGAAGAAAACAAATTGGAAGGGCTGGATTCAAAACAAGGTAGGGATTGGAGAAAATCGAACTGTTTTGTGTTAGGTATCCTGATGTGATGTGACTGAAAATTGGGTGGGTGGGGAACTTTCCATGCATATAAATATATTGTAAAGAAGCATTAGCACTACCTATTTATTTGGAAATATATATTTATATGATATAAAACTTTGAATTAGTTTTTAGTTGTCAGGTAAGGAGAAGAACAGGCATAGATGGATTGCACATTCCCATCAGGTAAACTCAATATTCATAATGCCAATTCTTTAACCATGATTTTGACTATGTTTTTTTTTCCTGTTAGAATATAATGGATAGAACAGGGGAACTTCAGTAGCAGCATTGTCCTACTGTTCATACAGTTGTTGTCTTATATTAATGAATGGTTTTCATTCAACCATACAGGAAAAGGAAAATTGTGTCTCTAAATTCACAGTTGTGATGAGGATAAACTCCATCTGTTACTACTTCATAGACATAGGTCCAATTTTATTCTGTCCCTCTAGTTGTGTGGATTTCAGGACCCAGAATTCCTATCAGATGATCTATCTATCTCCTGTAGAAATTTTAAAATTGAACCCTACCTATTTGATACCTCAGCCTTGTAGAAGGCTGACCTAGAGTTTGGAAAGTTGACAGGAACAATGTGTGTTAGAAATTGTAGGGAAGAGGATAACTTATTTTATTGGTGGCAGTTGGGTATGAATTCAGTGAAAAATTCCATTTATGGGTCTGTTTGAATTTCAACAATTCCCCATCTATTTTGTGATGATAGGTATGTGCAACAAACTATAGGATTGGATCAAATAAGATCTTATTAGGATACATATTCCCACTAATTATTTCTGTAGAAATAAATACTTTATTTTTCTGTACTAGCCAATAAAGAAAATTTGACTGGAATAGAATAGAATTATGAGGCAATGAAGCTTTAGTAAAATGCTGTGACTTTCTAAGGAATAGTTTAAATACTGCTTTTTTGCACTCGGGTATGACCTTTGAATTGACATGTTTCCTGCAGATTTGTTCCCTTTTTTTCTGCTATCAGGAGGAATTGATGACTTCTTGCAGATGATTACTTCTTTGTCCTTTTTATGACTTTATCAGCACCGTTTTCATGATGGCTTTAGGCAATGACAACAGTTCTAGTCAGGATGTTAACGTTTTAAGGAGCTTTGGAAAATGTGAAAGCATAAAATGGCAAAACTTAGTAACTGTTCTTATTCTACACTGTGATGCTGAAGATGAAAAATACAAAATCTTAAGAAAAAGTGATTTAGAGACAGAAATTAAGAACTCAGAAATAAATTTCACCATTTTAGTTGAAAGTATAAATGTAGGTTTTCATTTTGATAAAATGATAAAGATAATGAGAGAAATAGCACCAGAGACTTTTATTACTATGTAAAATTACGGATGCAAAAAAGGAGAATAAAGGAGCTCAACTAATTAAACATTTCTTAGGCCATTATAGCCGTGTCATTATTGTGTAGCATACATCTGTGGAGATTTCAAGCACTGAACAAAAAAATCCAGGCTGATAACACTTATTTTCAGAGTCAGATAACTTCTTGAGGAAAAGGAGAAATGATTTCTCTAAAAAATACTTTTGCCTCAGTCCCTCAGGTCAGTTCTTCTTTTACTTGGAACAGTTGCCTTTGACAAGAAGAGATGAGTATGTCAGAACATAACTTCTGATCTTTGAACAAGGCTTATTCAGTGGGGAATGTGATCTCTTACTGAAGAGCTTCTGATTAGCTGAACAGTATATTAAGTAAATATGGACTATTACCCTGTAGCAAGGCAAAAGAATTTTCCATTCCTTAATCCTATTGATTCCCATTTCATTTGGTCTTTCACACTTCTCATTTGTTTCTGGCAGTATGATTTTTGATTGCTTTTCTTAGGTGGTAGAAAATTAAATATTGCATCACATAGGTACAAGTTGAATATTTGATTATTATATTGACAACTATTTCTCAGAAGGCAATATTGATGGCTAAATTTTTCAGAGGTTCCAAATTACTGATTTTGAACTTTTGCTTTATAACTGTAGTTGTTATAATTCACCCCACGCCTATCCTGCTGCACTGCTCTATGGTGTCAATTCATGAATGAGCAAAACATGTTGGGAATATATACCAAGAGTATATAATCACAACAGGGTCATCAGAACATAAAGGTCATTCCAGCTGCCCAGTTAAAGCATGTAGGCAATTATATTGGGCAGCAGTAATATAGGAGGATACTTATGGTACCTTTAGTGGCAGTGGCAAAAGCTGTGCAGGAGAAGGCAATGGAAAATGACTCCTGTGTTTTACCAAAACTCCCTCCTCCACATATGCACATGATGCGTAAGATAAAGTGATTGATGATACAGCACCAGATGATGAGCCCTTAAGGCCAGATGCACTTAACGTGCTATTGAGAAAGAGCTCAGTGGTGTTTATGACATGGTTAGATTAAAGCCTTCAGGATGTCTAGTTGCTGTTGTTGCCATGCAGACAAAAAAAAAATCCAAAATGGCAAAAATAGAATTACAGTGGGAATATAGAATGTAAAAAACACGAACACAGGAAAACCAACACCATCAAAGGAAAAATAAAATAACTACAAATTAACATCTTAGGCATCAGCAAATGGAAGTGGATTAGGATTGAATACTTTTAGTCAGAGCATCATACTATTTACTACTCAAGACATGAGAAATAAGGAACAACACTGCTTTCATAGTTAGGAATGGCTACCAACTTAGTTAGCCATTCCTAATCGTAGCATGGTTACAGTTCAATTAGCGACCTAGTACTATCAATTAAGCTCTTTAATGTGACAGTTTTAAAGTTTATGTTCCAACTACTCATGTAGAAGAGAAGGAGGTTGGTGAGTTTTTATGATCACATTCAATTTCAAATCGCCCAAACAGATTAGTAGTACATCCACAGGAATCAGAATCATACAAACAATGGATTTACTTGTGATATTGTATGGAAGTGAGAGTTGGACTTTGAAGAAACAGGATAGGAAGCATATTCATGGTTTTCAATTTTGGAGTATTCACAGTATTTTGAACTTTGGAGAAGATTTTTGAGAATATTGTAGATCACAAGTGTCAAACTCATGATGTGATGTATCACAATGTTTTTTGCCTTTGTGGAGCCGGGGTGGGTGTGGGCGTGGTCTGTGGATAACACATTCAGCCCATGGGCCGCCAGTTTGACACCCCTGTTGTAGATAGTCAAGAAAACTGACAAATGGATCATCAAAAATACCAACCCACAATTATCCCTTAAGATGCAAGGGACCAGGCTCAAATGATCAAACTAGACTTATGTGAAACATTTCTCTAGAAAAGTCTATAATGCTGTTAATGGTAAAACGAAAGAGAAGAAGAGGCTATCTATCAGTCAGGCAGATGAACAATAGGTTGACCTTTGGAAGATTTGAAGAGTCAGATTGGGAAGGATCCCTTTGGGGCATATCTATCTGCGTAGTTGTTAAGGTTCCATAACTATTTGTTGGCACATAATCAGATGTAACTAAGAAATAGAAAATCACAATCATAGCTATATTTCCTACACTGCAAGTGTTGCTCTATGCCCAGTTTAAGTATGATGCATTTAATATGGTTTTCCTGGTTCTGCTAAACCACACACACACACACACACTGTCTGTCTGTCTGTCTGTCTGTCTGAAAGGTACATAGTTTGACAAAAAATAGTCTTAAAGTATCAATTGCTGAAATCAGAACTTGCAAATAGAGCTCTGTGCAGTTTTGGTTTTGCCATTTTGATATTACTGATGAAATCATAATATTTATATACTGCAGCTATCTATTTATCTATATTTCTAATATCTGTAAAATTACTTGTGCAATGCTTTACTTTCCAGGTTTTTTCCCCAAGAAAAGCTACTTCCTACTTTATGGGCAAGAGCATTTATTATACATTTCTCTTAGTGTTCAGTATTGATTTTTTTCTCCCTCCAGATACCAGTTATATCATAAAAAGTCAAAGAAAGTATGTTTTTCTAAAGATTTTCTTCCTAGCTCATAAACACAAGACCCAATGCACATACGCACACAATGAAAGTTATGGCATTTCTTTCAGAAAAGATTTAAAACCAGAATAGTTTTTTAAAGGCTTTTTCACTCTACTTTTGACTTGAGAGGGAGAAAAAAGTAGTCTTGCTTTAAGTTGTTTGGAATGGCTGTAGATTAATTTCAGTAATATGTATTCTGCTGCTCAGTTTTTGGACAGACTTTGATGTGAATGAAAAGTAATTGGTATAAAGATCAAATGCAGAATATTAACTTTTTTGTGTGTAGGAAAAAGTTTTTATTTCTCTGTCACATTTTCCAAAAGAAGTATTCATGTTGCCAACTCATATATTATTATTGCCAAACAGTGGAATAGTTAGGGTAGCAACTCTCTTATAGAAGCTTTGGTTTCTGAAACCTTCACAATGAATAGAGACTAGCACACATGGGAAAAGTGCTTAGCAGGCCTTTTTTATTATGTAAAAATGACAAGCAACCTTCAAATTGCAGTATCTGGGTAATTTGACTAGAGCCTAGTACATAATAGCAATAGCACTTAGACTTATATACTGCTTCACAGTGCTTTACAGCCCTCTCTAAGCGGTTTACAGAGTCAGCATATTGTCACCAACAATCTGGGTCCTCATTTTACCAACCTGGGAAGGATGGAAGGCTGAGTCAAACTTGAACCAGTCAGGATCAAATTCCAGGTTTTGGGCAGTGAGTTAGTACTGCAGTACTGCATTCTAACCACTGTACCACCACATAGTAATGCCAACCATTTACCATATTTTTCAGAATATAAGACGCACCTTTTTTCCTCAAAAAAGAGGCTGAAAATCTGGGTGCATCTTATACATCGAATACAGCAATTTTTGCCTCCCGAAGCCCCACCCCCTCACCAAAATGATCGTGCATACCCTTATGGAAGCTTTCAGAGAGCTCCTGGGGACTGGGGAGGGCAGAAATGAGCAAAAAACTGCCTGTTTTTTGCCCTCCCCCAGCCCCAAGGAGCACTCTATAAGCCTCCATAAGACTGTGCATGCAAATTTTTTGACCAAAAAGGGGCGTTTTTTGCTTCTTTTTGCCCCCCACCCCACTTCCCTCTGCAAGCCCCCCCCCAGGCTATTCATGCCTTTTAAAAAAAACACGGGCCTGTTTTCGTGAAAAACGGCCCGTTTTCATGAGGTTTGCAGAGTGCAAAAACTTTTTCCCCCCTTTTGGAAAGCTCTAACTGATTGATGAGAATTACATTGATCAGGTGTGTGCCAGCAGAAAGAAAGTCTTAGGTGCTGCAGATTGTCAGCGATTTCCTTCTCCAGCACATGGATAAATAACACCTGGAAACATCTACTTACCTATCTACTCCCTCTCTCTCCCTACCCACCTACTGTATTTCTCTCTCTTTCTCCTCCTCTACCTACCTACCTACCCTCTCTCCCTACCTATCTACTGTATTTCTCTCCCTCTCTATCTACCTACGTACTTACCTACTCTCTCTCTTTCCCTACTTATCCCTCTACCTTCCAACCTACCTACTTTCTCTCTCTTTCCCTACCTATCTACTGTATTTCTCCCTCTCTTTCTATTTCTCTCTCTATCCCTCTACCTACCTACCTACACACTCTCTCTCTCTACCTACTGTATTTCTTTATCACTATTTCTCTCTCTCTATCCCTTTATCTACCTACCTAACTACTCTCTCTCCCTCCCTACCTACTATCTCTCTCTCTCTCTCCTTCTCTCTCCCTCTACCTACCTACCTACCTACCTACTTTTTTTTAAATTTACCTCTTCAAAACCTTGGTGCATCTTATACTCCGGTATGTCTTATACTCCGAAAAAATACAGTAATTCTAAGAATTAATCTACCTGTCCCAATAAAGTCTGATTAGATAGACATATGTGGGATTTTCATTCTGATTATTGAGATTGGGATTTTTAATGCCCGAATGCATCCCAAAGGCAATTGGACTTTTTTGTTTTTTCTTGAAGACCTTTCACTTCTCATCCAAGAACCTTCTTCAATTCTGACTTATGGTGGAGAAGAGAAGGATTATGCTTCTTGCAGTCATCTGGTTGTTAGCACTCTCCAAGTGGTCTCAGGATGGATTGAGGCTATCCAAATAGCCTCAATGACTGTCAGAAAGAGGGTTAAAGACTAGATGACTGCAAGGAATATAAATCCTTCCATTCTCCACCATTCAGGCAGAACTGAAGAAGCTTCTTGTAGGAGAAGCAAAACATCTTCAAGAGAAAAAAGAAAGATGAGTTGCCGTTTGAAAAAGCACTTTTGGAACATCTATGACCTGGATGACTTAGAATCTCTAAACATGGCCAAGTGCATCCATTCACATGCATTTTTTTCTTTTCTTTTTTTCACCTCTTTGTCTCATCTTGCTATATTTTTCTTTAAAGGTTTCTCCCTCCATCTTACAAAATACATCTGTATGCTGCTTGTGGGAATGTTTTTGAAGTGCTTAGATATGTGCTGATATCCAAGATGAAATTCCTTCAGTGTGTGCTACTAAAGCTAAATCTGTCTTGCCTGCATCATTCACTCAAAATGCCTTGAAGAGTTGCTTCGCTGGATTGATGCAGAGCAAAGGCCATTTCTACTACTACCTTAGTTAGGATTTCCCATGTTTTTTTACAATTTAATCTGCAAATAGGGTTAGAAATAAATTGATTAAAGAATGGTCAAGGAATTAAATTTTAAGGTATTGTTGCTTTAATGATTATCAATGACTTTACAATCATTGTTAATTACATAACAATTATGTTAATTTGTAGAAGAGTAAAATTAATTTTCAGATTTCTAGACCAGTCAGATTGTCACAGTAATTTTTCTATCATTCTAGAGAATTGGCAATATGGTTCCCCGGTGTACCCCATCCAGAGCTACATTTCCCAAGGTACATAAAAGTCCTGCTACTTCCTTAATAAGTAATAGCAGCCTCTAATTTGGGGAAGTAGGTCAATGGAGGCATATTGACCCCGACATGATTATTTTGCCAGTTCTTTTAAGTATTATCAATTAAGTATTGTAATTCATTATTTGTTCTTTGACCAAGTCGAACAGATGGCCACAGCCAGTCAAAGGGGTTGCATTGTGAAAAGATAAGCCAGCTTGAATCCTTGAGTGGAAAATCATCAGGAAACTACTGTGCTGGAAAAAAAATCAGAAAAAAAATAATTTAAAAGTGATTAAGACAAAAAGGTAGCAAGGTTATAAAAGTGTTTATACACTTCATAAAATTGTTTAAACCTGCTGAAGTTCATTGTAAGTAAAAAAAAAGTTTCATACAATGCCTAATTGTGTCAGAAAGGGTGAAAATAACTTCTAAAAGTGTTTAAATAACTTTGTTTTAACAAATTCACAGCAGAAACTATGATGTTTAACCATAATAGCTATGAATAGACTCATGAGATCTTGAAAGTATCTTCATTAGTAGCTTCAAAAGGACATTTGGCTTTATGTAGATGGTACTGTTATAATGCTGAACTAATTGGGGCTTTGACCTGATCCAGCAAAACATGTTCTTTCTTTGTCTCTGTATTCTACTGCTTACGAAATCTGTCATTGTACTGTTTTGTAGTATTAAATTGCTCTGTTAATAATTAATAGCACTAGCACTTAGACGTATATACAGCTTTACAGTGCTTTACAACCCTCCCTAAGCAGTTTACAGAGACAGCATATTGCCCCCAACAATCTGGGTCTTCATTTTATCCACCTCGGAAGGATGGAAGGCTGAGTCAACTTTGAGCCTGGTGAAATTTGAACTGACAAATTGCAGGCAGCTGGCAGACAACAGAAGTGGCCTGCTGTAATTGCACTCTAACCACTGCACCACCACTAATAGATAGCTTCAAAGTATAAATGACTACATTTGTAGTACCTGATGACTCAATATCATATAAATATATATTTTCTTTTAGTATCAAAGAATAAAATCCATACTCTACATCAATGTTTTTCAACCTTGGCAACTTTTAAGATATGTGAATTTCAACTGCTGACTGGGGAATTCCAGGAGTTGATATCCAAACATCTTAACCTTTGCCGATGTTGAGAACGTCAGTTTCTCTGGATTAAAAGATCCTCACAGCTGGTTTTGAACATCCAAGAGAATTTGGGACTTACATTTTTAGTACCTCAGTTATCTTGTTGCATTATTCTTAAACCTAATGGAAATGTCAAAGGTGGTATAACTTAAACAAATTTTCCCAAACAGGTGTCCACAATTGGTATCAGAATTCCTATGTAAAAGAAAGTACTATACCGGAGAAGGTTGAATTATACAACGGCACTCTAGTATTTATAGAAATCACTTCTAAAATTTCTGAGCCTTAGTGCATCCTCAGATTGGGATAAGCTCACACTGCAGTTGTTACATTTGTGTATCAGACACAAGGCAGTTTACAACAATTAAAATACAAACTATAAAATATTAATATATTAAAACTATAGAATAGAATCAGGAACATATGCAGTCACTATCAGCACCACAGGAAAACTGTCACTGTAAATCTTAATAAGATGATATATTAGAGGAGAGAGAGGCTTCCCAACTAATTATTTGGTACTATGCTGTTCAGGGCTTTGTAAATCCACACCAATAACTGACTAGTACAAATAACCAAGTATAGATATAACATAATTCTGTATTACCTAATGCTTTGGGACCATCCAAAACAATCTCATTTTACAGTAATGTAGACATTATCACACCATGGATCACTAGATACAGGTTAACTAAAGATTGGGAAGTGAAAATAGACATTTGTAGGAGCATGGTGTAAAGGCCTTATGAATATTCGGGGCAAAATTTTAGTGTACTTCATTTATTTATGTAAGAGAATTTATATGGCCTCCCAACTCTAGGAGCATGGTGTAAAGGCCTTATGAATTTTCGGGGCAAAATTTTAGTGTACTTCATTTATTTATGTAAGAAAATTTATATGGCCTCCCAACTCACTTTCAGTGGCTTCAGGTGGCTTACAAGGATAAAAGATCAATACAAAACCAATTAAAAAAAGCAATAAGCCCCCTCCTGGTGACAACAATCAAATGAACTGTTCAATGGCTCTGTCCCACTCTGGGATTCCCTGTTGGCAAAACCAGATCTTCAGGACCTTGCAAAAGAGTATCAAAGTGGGCGGCCGATCTTATCTCCATGGGGATGGTGTTCCACAGGGAGGGAGTGGCTATGGAGAAGACCCTTTTTTTTGGTTCCGCTAGATGGACCTCCTTGGATCCATAACATTTCCTGCCTCCCTGTTGTGATGGGTTGGGTCAATGTGGCTGGGAAAAGATGGTCCTTAAGATAACCTGGTCCCAAGCCATGCGGGGCTTTGAATGTGACAATTGAATTGGACCCAGAAACAAATCAGTAGTCAATGCAGCTCCCTCGGAAGTGATGGCATGTGCACATCTAGGTCTGCACAAAACCACATGGGCTTCTGCATTTTGAACCAATTGAAGCTTATGGATTCTTTTCGAGGGCAATCCCATGTAGAGTGTGTTGTAATAGTCCAGACGGGAGGTGACTAGGCCATGTGTGACTATGAGCAGAGATTGTTGGTCCAAGAAAGGATGTAACTGGTGCACGACTTGCCATCGCACAAAAGCCCTCCTGACCACAATTGCATTGCTCCTTGAGTAGGAGTTTGTGAGTCCAGGAGAAGCTCCATATTATGCACCAGAATGAGAGATCTGGCCATCAACCACACTTCTGTTTTCTAAGGATTCAAATGTAATTTATTGGCTCTCATCAAGCCTATTGTTACCATCAAACATAACTAAGCAAATAAGAATGCCATAATTGTTATGAAGGAAACCTAAATTGAAATCTAAACCTCACTGAATGTCTTTGCTTAGATATATCTAATACGTATACTACTGTACTGATAACTATTTTTGTATTTTTGTTACAGTACATAAAGTAATTTTAGAGTACTTTTAAACTGCACTTTAGGAATTAAATTTACTTCTAAAATAATAAACAGTAGTCAGTCCCAGAGGCTTCCCACATCAACTTTCATTTTGAAATGCAGAAGCGTCCTTATGATATAAAACCTTATGACATTTTAATTAGGAAAATAGATCATGCAATTCCATACGATGGAATAAATTTTCCAAGCACTGCTGCTTTGGACTACTGCATGTTCTTGTAAATTGGAATAAAAATGCATTAAAACTCGTCTAAATTAAATCAGTCTTAAGGTAGGGAGAGGGCCGGAAAGAGAGAAACTTGTTTTTAATTTATAGATGACCTTTCTTATACTTTAAATCTGAGCAAAGGAATATTTGTGTGCAAAAGCAACTGCAAGGTGGTGAAAAGCATCTCTTCCTTTTTGGTGAGCCTTCTGAATGTATTCATTTTCTGCCGCAGGCAAAGGAGAAGATAGCGATATTCTCAGCATCAATGCAGATGCATACGACAGTGACATCGAAGGACCATGCAACGAAGAAGATAATCCAGATGTGCCAGAACGGACAGTTGGAAGTGGAGACGGTCAGATAGATGACCTTCAGAAAGACATTGAGAAAAGTGTCAACGAAATCCTGGGGCTTGCTGAATCCTCCCCAAAGGATCCCAAGGCGGCAGCTTTAGCAGTTCCTCCAACAGATGATGTTCAGCCATCAGCACAGCAGCTGGAACTCCTGGAGCTTGAGATGCGAGCGCGGGCTATTAAGGCCCTTATGAAAGCTGGAGATGTAAAAAAATAGCTGCAGGGCTGTTTCATTTGTTAGATAGTTGGATTTGCTCTGATGAGTGTAGGGTCAGCTTCTTTCCACTCTATGGTCTATTTGGACTAGTTTTGACATTCCTCATTCAAGCACTTTGGGCATTCTAGCTCATAGCCGAAATAGTTGGCAGCGGTTTATGAGGGCCGTCAATCTGCTTCTGTGACTTATATAAATGGATTGGTTTGATGCTGTCCTTATTTTCCAGTTCGGGTTAGATTATTTCCCAATGTGAATTGGAAACCAGAGTCAGAGGCAGTATGGATGCAGTTAAATCCTGTTGCTCTATAGACCAGAATAATCCCAGGGTTATCTCTAGCTTTTGAGGAATTGAAGCTTTGGTTGCGTTTAGATAGCAGCTATATATCTGCAGGGAAGTAAAACATAGAAGCACCACGCATTTAGGAGGGTACAGACCACAAGAATATCTTGTGTCGTCGTCGTCATCATCATCATCATCATCATCATCATCATCATTTATGATGCTTTGTGATTGCTTTGGTGCCAGCAACAAATGTTCATAATTCTATGGTTTGAAATTAAATTTAATTCATGTCCCTCTTAACGGTGATTTTGGATATCTGTCTGTTATCTTAAATTCTATACAGGCAGTCCTTGACTAATGACCACTTCTTCAGTGACTGTTCAAAATTACAGTGATGATGAATGAGGGGGGACCTATGATGAGTCCATGAAGTTGCAGTCATTGCAGCATCCATGTGGTCATGTGATCTCAATGAAGGTGCTCAAGCACCTGGGCAAGATGCAGTCACATGATCACCATTTGCAACCTTTCCTGCCAGCTTCCCACAAGCAAAGTCAATGGGGAAGCTGGCAGAGAAGATCACAAATAATTGTGTAAATTGCTCTTGCTACTTTTTCTCCCGAGGAATCCCACTAGGGAGTATGAGATACCAGGGATTTTGTACTTCATAGCATTTCCCCAGCCACCCCCTCCAGTACTTAGTCCTGGCTCCTGCCAGGCAGCCCACCACTCCCTGGTGCCCTCCTGCAGTATCCTCCATGCTCCTTATCTGGGATTCCTGCCTCTTCCCACTGAATGACCTGCATAGTCATTAAGAGTTACATAGGGTTACAAGGGCAACTGGATTACTGGGCTTGTCATCCTAAGTGATGTTACACATTTAGTGATGGCAAAACCAGTCCCAATTGCTGTCATAACCCTATAAAGCAACTTTTGGTGGTTGAGAGTAGATAAGTATGTAAATTGCTGAATGTAAATTGATAATTAAATATAAATCTTTAAGCATGGCTTAGATTGCATAATCAGTATGATGAAAGTAAAATTTGAAACTCAAAGAATGCTACAGAGGCACCTGACTGTTAGAACAAGTGGTACAGAAATACTTAATTTCTTGACCTGTAAGGTTCTTTTCTGTTCTTTATCAGTAATGTTTTGGAGCTTCTCTTTGGCAAAGTGAAATTACATTTACACTTAATTTAGAGGGAGTTTTGTTTCTTTCTTAAATATTTGGCTATTATGAACTATAGAGAAGAGTAAGATCAGATGTGAAATGTTAAAAAAAAGAAGTGATTTTGTTTGAACGTGCAAATGCTTTGTAGTTCTTTATTCAGGGTATGAAGCACAACAGTTTGAAAACACAGGTGGAAAACCAATATATACAAATGACTGGCAATAAATTGATTTCTTAAGTGCAGATTCGGAACTCCCCCCCCCCAATAAAAATGTTTGGATCTAGTGAGGAATCTAAATTGGAGAGGGCAGCACATGCCAAAAAGCTTTGCAGGATATAGAAGTATACCAAACTCAGTGTGGTTACTTGTTCTATGTTACTGCAAAACAGGAAGGAATGAAGACAAACTGGTGAAGAAATACCCATTTTATATCATCCTATATTCTGGAATCAGGTAAACATCATAAACTGGAATAAAGAGAGAAAGATGGGTAGCAAAAAAGGAAATAGGTTTATTTCTCTCCTAGAGTGTGTATGTCAGTTGACCAAGGGAGAAATCTAGGAGAGGAATGAATAGAGATTGATCCTCTGGTGTTTCAGCAAATCCTGCCTTTAGTTTCCAGAAATGATCAGTGAGCCAAACATATAAGGGGCATTTAGAAGCCACATTTTTAGGTAACGTTGGTTTCATTTAAAATTTATAAAGTAAAAACCTCTGACGAAATTTCAGCTCGTCCTTGTGAATAATGGAAGGAATCACATAGGCATATGTGATTGGAATAGTTTCATAGAGATTAGAATTACGTTTTTTATTAGTTTTGGAAATATAAAATTGGTTTATATTTGTTTTCATGTAGGACTTGTTTGGAAAACAACACATTCATTAAAAATGAAACCTACACAATTCAAACAGTTCGCTTCTCAGAAATATGTAGTATGAGTTTAGGACTATTTAATTTTGTATTTGCTCAATATTAACATTATTTTGGTACTTAATCACCTGATTCATGAAAGTTTCTTTTAATGAACTATCTAAATAATATTTAAGCCTTAAAACTCATTATTGTTAAGTACTTTTATTGAAGCAGCATCTTTTATGCAACTGTATATTAAACAGTTCATGACTTTGTTTTTCAGAAAGTCAGGTTTAGACTCACTGATGTCTAAAAGAATACAATGAGTGAGTAACCTTTTCCTCCTAGCTCACAACGCTTCATACTTATATATTTTCTTTTACTTTTTGTTTCTTTATCACTGGAGAAAGCAATTTTGCTTGGAAGAGTTAGCTGTAAAAGGAAACTAGGCCGCCAAAGAACACGGTGGCTGGACTCCATCAAAGTTGACACCAGCAAGAGTATAAAAAATTGAAAGAACTCAAGATTGAAAGATGAGGAGAGACGTGCCCATAGAATAGCTAAGAGTCAGACACAACTGAATGGATAATGCCATCATTTGTTTCTATGAAGAAACAAAACGCTTTTTCCATCTCATAACCACCATCATTATGTGTAGTATTTTAAAGAATATTGGAACTAGATTGGCTCCTATTTAATTAAAGAGAAATTACACATAGTGCATCTTATATATTTTACAGTGTATCACATAGCAGAAGATACAGCTATGGATCTTGACGTCAGAAAACAGAATTAAAACTGTTTGCAGATGATATCAAGATAGCAAAAACCAAATATGTGTGAGAAGAGCTTTAGAACAATCTTATTTAAATTGAAGAATGGTTAATCGAATGCAAATGCAGTTAAATTTAAGTGAGTGTGAAAAGTGATAGATAAAATAAAATTCCCTAATGGTACACACACATGTGATGGGGTCCGAGATCTCTTTTTTTCATCCTCGAGAAAGCTCTTAGGGTTACAATGGATGGCACAATGAACATATCAGCTCAATATCTGGCTGCTGTGAAAAGGGCAGATTCCATGAGAGGAGTCTCTAGAACTGGGGTGTCAAATTCAAGGCCCAGGGGCCGGATCCAGCCTGCAGAGTGCTTAGATCTGGCCTGTGGGCCGCCCTGGAAACAGCGAAGGACCAGCCCACGGTGCCACTGCCAACAAAAATGGAGCTCGGAAGGGCCACAACACGAGTGATGAGTTGGCCACACCCACATTGGCCATGCCCCCCTGAGGTCAAACACAACCCTTATGCAGCCCTCAATGAAATCGAGTTTGATACCCCCCTCTAGAAAATTGTCAAAATTGTCAAGCCTTTTCAGAAAGAGATGATACTTTGCATCAAGAATTCTATAGGCTGTTCTCAGATACCACATTTCTTGGCGGGAAAGTGAAATAAAGTACATAAGAGGGCAACCAAAGTAACGGAAGGCTCAATACTCTTCTATGAGAAAATGCTAGAATGTTTGGGACTCCAGGAAACAGCCAAGTGAGGGGGAATATGGTATAATACATGCTGTGGTGAAAATGGACAGTTTTGTCTCCTCTCTAAACATGACCCATGGGAGTAATTTGGAGGGAGATTGAGAGCAGACAAAAAAAAAGTATTTCTTTGCTCAGTGCAAAATTAACTTATGAAATTCACCATCACAAAACATGATAATGACCATTAAGTTGAGCTGCTCTAAGAGAAGATCAATAAATTCAATATTAGTTGCAGGACAATAACCGCAAATACGGTGGCTCAGTGGCTAAGACGTTGAAAGGTTGGCAGTTCGGCGATTCAAATCCCTAGTGCCGCGTAACAAAGTGAGCTCCCATTACTTGTCCCAACTTCTGCCAACCTAGCAGTTTGAGAGCATGTAAAAAAGCAAGTAGAAAAATAAGAACCACTTTTGGTGGGAAGGTAATAGTGTTCTGTGCACCTTCGGTGTTTAATCATGCCGGCCACATGACCACAGAGATGTCTTCGGACAGCACTGGCTCTTCAGCTTTGAAACGGAGATGAACACTGCCCCCTAGAGGTGGGAATGACTAGCACATATGTGCAAGTGGAACCTTTACCTTTGCCTTTAACAGCAGTAGGAAGTATGTATCCACCTCCTTTTATCAACAGTTGAGACACATCTGTACCCGTTGTGAGAAATGAAATTCTGGACTGCAACAGACATAGGCTTGGTTCAGCAGGTCTGTTTTTCATTTCTTTCTCAAATGTGTAATTACAATACTATAGAACCAATTTGTATATTAAGGCACCAGGCTAGAAGCTTGGAGACTGCAAGTTTTAATCTTACCTTAGCGTGAAAGCCAGCGGAGAGACCTTGGGCCAACCACTCTCAGCCCAACTCATTTTAATTAAAATGGATGATTTTTTCTCTAAAGATGCTGTAATCTCCATGAGGAGGAACACAGCATTGTCTTATTTAACCAGAATTAAAGTGGGACATGTTGCTATTTTGGGCTGTTCTTTTTGGATTTGCTGATATTTGGAGTAAAAAAATGTTGTGTACTGGATTTGCTTATATTTAATATGGTGTTTAACAATTTTCCTTACAGTTACTTTATATATCAATTTGATTGCATTTAAACTGGCTGAGTATTTAACAAGTAAAGAAGTTTGGTGAACTTGCTCTTTTTAAAGGAAAAATTAGCCGCCTTTGTTACATTAAATGTTAGGGGGTTTTTTTGTTCATATTAGGGCACTGGGATTACTTTTACCTTTGCTAAATGCATTTATAATTAGGAATTGAGATATGGGATGATTACCTGAACGGGGTATGTTGCTATCTGGAGAGATTCTTTTCCAAACTGTTGGCATTTGGAATGAAAGAAATGTTTGTTCACAGTTAACATGGTGCTTTCCCTACAGTTGCTCTAGAAGAAAAGGATGTTTGTGAGATTTTTTAAAAAGGAAAAATGATCCCTCTTTGTCATTTTAAACTGTAGGAGTTTGTTTATTTGTTTACAATAGGATTACAGGACTACTTTATGCCTTTTAAATGTGATTTTGCTTATATTTAAAAGTTCAGATGTGAAATGTTAAGTTTTATATATGTTCATTAAAATTAATATTTTAGAGCTCTGTTTGGATTTTGGTGATTTTTTTTTTTTTTTGCTGGAACCTGGATTGGAGAAGATGTTGGATTTGCCTACAGTTAAGAGATGAGTGACGGAAGGAAGAAGTTTATATTTGTTAATTAAGAGCAGGTGAAGAGATTATAAAATTGTTTATATTCAATGTGATGAGGGTGGGAAGTTGATTTCTTGGAGGGTGGATGCTTTTTCTTTTTTAGTTTGCTATTATCTTTTACTCTTGTAACTAAAACCCTTAATAAAAATTATAAAAAAGAAGTGCACAACACACA